ATTTTGCGGACGGACTCATTCAGGTGACTGCAAGTGGAATTTTTTTTTTCTTTTCCCCAAGCGTGCTAGGTTTTATTCGTCTTTCAGGAGGGAACCCGGCTAAAAACACATGAAATGATCCTTCATATATCGTGCGATAAACATCTTATTTGGCAACCCAAGACATAGAGACTCGCGTCACCAATATGTAAAGTATGACGGCACTCGGCAGCTTAGGGGAAAAAGAGCCTGTGGCGGTTACTTCACTCCAGAAATCTTTATTGATTGGCGACAAATAGGATGGTAGGTTACTGGTTGTTCGTCCCTGGGAGACATTAGACAACTTTTTCCCTTTTGATTTCACGGGGCGATTGGGGAGCGGCCGTATGTTTTGGACACTCAGGTGAAGAGAGGGGCGGAGCTGTCAACTGATCACCAACTGGTGGCCATTTGGCTCCGATGGTGGGGGAAGATGCCGGTTCGAGCTGGCAGACCCAAACATATTCTGAGGGTCTGCTGGGAGCGGCAGGCAGAATCCCCTCTCAGAAGGAGTTTCAACTCCCACCTCCGGCAGAGCTTTATCCACATCCCGGGGGATACGGGGGACTTTAAGTCTGAGTGGACCATGTTCTGCGTCTGTATTGTTGGGGCGACTGATCGGAGTCATGGTCGGTGCCTGTCGTGGTGGCAACCCCCGAACTCACTGGTGGACACCGGCAGTAAGGGATGCCGTGAGGGTGAAGAAGGCCATGCGACTCCGGACGCAGGGTAGCGCTTCGCTTTCGATATAAAAGTAGTCTTGGCATGGACAAGTGGCTGGATCTATATAGAATTCTTCTCACGCTGCGTAACCATCATTGGGAACCTGCATAATGCATTGCTGCGATCTCAAAACGAGTGCTATCCCTCTTCAGGAGGAAGCCATTGCATATGTTGGCGAAAGTTCCGCCCCCGCATTCATGATCATCCAATCAAAAATTGCCAGTGCATTTTTAACGTCCAAAAATCCTTTCATTTTCTCAGTGTGTATGTTACTTATGAAAATGTAGCATCTTTTTGACTACATCAAACAGCCGTCCCCGCATCTTGTCGTGAGGTGGAAATTCCATCTACGTACAATGCACTCATTCAATCTCAAATGCGCATCGATTGACCATGGAAGCATTTCCCATGTTGACAGACACAATGAACTCATGCTAAAGATATAAAGAAAGCGCTCAAGAGTCAGAATGGGAAAAGGGAAACTGCCAAAGAGTGTTCTTGAAAGCGCTTGTCATCCACGAGCAGAAAGATCTGTGCGCTTCTTCGTAAGCTACGGATCAGTTTTTGTTTTTATCTGTATTGGGTAGACAAATGAAAAAGCACTCACTCGTGACAGCGTGAACGAGGCAGTCAAATGATAAAGATAAAAATGATCAAATTACAGTATGAGCAAATTCATCTGATAAAGAGTGCTTAACATTGAACCGCCAGGCTTCTAATTCTGTTGTATGGGTTGCAACTTAGAAAGTAAACGCCTTGTATGTTTTACATGGCCAATAAATCTTGATGACAATGTGACATCTTTTATCCAGAAGTCAAATTTCCCCTCCTCTGGTTAAGTTAACCATGATTTATTTCTTTATAGTAGTGTGTTTACACATATTTCTACATTGTATTATTTTTATTTTTCACCATATTTAGTGGTCGGAAATGGATTAATTGCAATTCTATTCATTTCAATGGGACATGTTGCCTCGATTTACGAACATTTCGGATTACAAATAGGATCACAAAACCAAATAAATTAGTAACTCGAAGTTCCACTGTAGATGCCTCGTGTGCAAAAATAAAATAAATAAATTGGAATTGACCTGTTGGCTGTCCTATTTTCTTCAATTTACTGCGCTGGGCTATGATGCCAAACTATTCATGTCACAGATCCAGCCATCACCCTCCCAACGAGAGACCCTGCGACTGATGCACAAGCCCCTCCAGTAGCATGTGTTTGTGTTTGCAGCTGAAGAAAGGTGAGACGGTGGTTTACAGCATGACACTGGAGCAGGACGTGCCTGTCAGGAACCTGAAAGCAGCTGTGGTGAAAGTGTACGACTACTACCAGACAAGTAAGATCCTCTTCTGTTCCATTCATGTCCACATCTGTCATTTTTCTAATGTAACACTTGCTTGTAACTCGAATGCCCTTGTATACGACAGTTTACAGTTCATATTTTTATTCCTTTTAATTTGTATGTGTGTGCTGCTTTACCGTGTTCTGCTGTAAAATTTGAATTTCCCTTCTTGGCATCACTAAAGGATGATCTTATGTGCAGGTGATGTAGCCGTGACAGAGTACACATCCCCCTGTGCAGAGAGTAAGTCACACGAATCTGCTTTGTCGAATGATATAGTGGAAATTGAAACATTTTCGTACAAACGTTTGGAATATGAGACAAGTTTGAGAAAGGAAAAATGTGCCGCGAAAATGCATTTCATAAATGTGGTTTGCTTTATCTGAAGATTTTTGTAACAACTAAAGCAAAAAAAAAACCAAACAAACAAAAAAGGGGGTGGGTGGGCTATACCCAAAAACAACTGAACAAAGAATGTGACATAAGATGTGAAAAGCCTCCAGTTTAACAAAAGCTGTACTCAGTTAGCTTTGTTCAGTGGAACAGCGGTTAACGTGGTTTTTTTTTTTTGGTCATGGGTTTCTACTAAAATGGACTTGTAAATGTGTGTGTGTATATAAATATATGTATGGATGAATGTGTGTGTGTGTGTGTGTGTGTGTGTGTGTGTGTGTGTGTGTGTGTGTGTGTGTTAAGGTCCTCAACATTTCGTGGCCGTTTATTTTGTTTTATGCACGGGTGTGGTAGCTCTCCCCTGCTCTTTGCTGATTGGTGGCCCTTGTTCACAACTTCGCTGACCAATCAGTGCAAGGGACAGTGATCTAATTAGCAACTAATTTCAGGTGTGCCACCACCTGCAAAGATGAACCACCACTGTTTGAAAGGGCCGAGTTGTTTTCAGTTAAGAGGGTGGTGGGGCTGTTTTTGTGCTTGTAGTCAGTCCCCGGGGGTTGGCTGTGTCGGGATTATTGTCTTGTGTTGTTATGTTTGTCAGCCCGATCCCTCGTGTGTCCATGGTACCACTGCCTCTCGATCAGTGCAGCCAAATTAGTTCCTCGCCATAGCCGTCATCCATCCATTGATTCGTTTCTCCACTTTATTCATTCGTCTGTTTGGGAACTTTGCCACAATTAGTTTTGGTTCATACATTTTGCAAATATTTACAGGATTCGGGTTGCACTAAGGCAGTGGGATTCGGGAGTGTTTACTCCAACATCGTCCACTTGTGTCGCGTGTTCCCCCTACCTTGTGTTAGTACTCCCTTTTGCACCTCCCCAACTCCCACACCTCATGTAAGACCCTTCCTCAGTTGCCTTCATTTGGAAGGGTTGTAAATATAAAAATGGGGATCATTCTTTGGGTTGGCTTATGTAAGACATACCAAGTGGCCGTATATAGTAACATGTAAAAACACAGAAAATTATGTTTGCTTTACAGGTGACGTTCTCAACCAGCTTTAAATGACCAGAGAGGAGACAACTCAGATGTTCATCCAACTTGTAGGCGTGTCTTTTTCTCTCCTGTGTTTGGATTTTAAGGGAACGCCTGTGATTGCAAATGATGTTCTTTCCCTCTCCGTGTTCCTTTCTTTTCAAACTCTGAATTCACTTTTTAGTTATTGCTGCCTCGCCCCAACACTGGAAATCTTTTAACATGTTCAACCCACTGGAACCAAGAAAAACAGACTGCGCTCAGTAACTGGTTTAATAGGATTGAGAAATCCATGTTTTTCAACTCAAAGTGGAAGATGATACATTACAAGGGACCAATAACTGCAGGGGAAAAAAAAGAGTGCTACGTGTGCGTGTGTGTGGGGGGGGGGGGTGTTTTTAAAGAAGATACAACTCATCACGGCAATAACATACAATCTGAAATGTAACAGTCATGAAATAAAATGGACAACAATAAAGAACAAAATGATATTGTAGTGTTTCATTTCAATCGTATACTACCATCCAGGCACCTTCTATTTTTTTATATACAGTGTATTTTTACTTTGATTCAAGATAGACAACATCAGCATATCAACAGAAAGGATTTCACAGCCTTGCCATTGTCAAATTTGGTTTGCACACGCCAAGTGCGCAGGAAGAGTAAAGGCAAGGATGACATCATATAAGATAAGATAAGATAAGATAATATATATTAAGGTCTTTAGAATATTTTGAAGAGGTAAAGGTCACTATCTGAGGCACAAAAACCTTAAATTATTTCGACTAACCTACTCAACCACGCAGTTCCAGATTCTCCTCCCGTGCTTTTTACAAACCGGTGCATTCACGACAAATCCGCTGACTCAAATTCACAACCACCGTGGAAATTTACACTGGCACCAATGGTGCAATGAATTCGTGCTGCTGAATGGGAAATGTCTGATGCGGTCAATTATAATTCCAAAACATACCTCATTTGTTTTGATTTTCGGGACGGTTAAGAGCACATTTTTGCATGAACCTCGATGGCTACGGGAAAGTATGCCATCCTCCTTGAAAGCCAGTCAGAAACCAAAGCTCCTCAAAGTTGAGACCATTAAGTGAGGTAAACTACGATTCAACTTTACAACCATTTGGCTTGCGCCTATATTGTGGATGTACATGCAGTTGTTTGATAAAGGCACACTTTTGAATTTTATGTCAGTATATATAGACGGATGCAGTATACCCACAGACGTTAGTCAAAGCAAAACATTATTAACCCTTTCAGGGACAGCGGTTACTACAATGGACAGCTTTTCATGTTATCAGGTTACAGGGTGCTTGAAAGGGTTAGGATCATCAAAATGGGCACACTGGCAATTTTTTTTGTCGAGTGCTTTTTTTTTTTTTTTTTTTAAACAAAATTTTAGTCCTGCATTCACACTGTTTAAGTTGTTGAAGAAAAAAAATATTGATCGAAATCTTTTTTTTTTGATCAAGATTTGATTTGTTTGATGTTGGCTATCTCTGGCATCTGCGACATGGTTTGCTTTCCGTCTTCTGAGGCTGCTGGCTTACAAACGATGGTGTTACCTTAGTAGTTAAAGGCTTGCAACGTTCATTTATTTAAAAAAAAAATAATAATAATGGCAACATGATGACATCACACAGCTGCACATTCCTATCCATGAGTCAACTGAGGGCTATACTGCTGACATATACCTGTATGTTGGGTTGTGAGCCATTTTTTTTCTTAACACATTTTATTTTAGAAGCATGTTTTAACACATGCTTAATATTAAGGATAAGGAACACCACCTGTTTTAATATTCGGTGCACAGTTATTACAGAGTGGAATTCAACTTAAGTACTTAAGTGTCCAGCGAATGAAGCCAATGATACGTATTAGCTTTGTCATGTAAAGCACTCGGTAAGCCAGAAGATGCTGACAAAACACTTTCAGTCACTCCAAGCTGAGACTCAAAATTGTCTTTGGGTTGAGGTTGATACAATTTATGGAACTTAATAGCGAGTGAGTTTTACAAGTGCCAATAGGTCCCTCTTTTAGTGTCAAAATCACTAAGCTAACCGCCTACCAGAATCCAGAAGCAAAATATGCGTACCTTTAATTTCAAAAACGGTGAATGATGTCATCATTTAACAACACCAAAATACTTTTATCAGTACCGTGAGGGTCGAAAGACAGTCCATATGGGTTAAATCCTACTACTGAACGAGGCCCTGAGCTGGAATGACTCCAAATAGTGTACCTGGAAGCTGAACCGAAACATAACATGCAACCTTTGTCAATGTTGTGTGTGATCAGGAGCAGGCCTTCAAAGCTGTCTGATGGAGCAGCACAGGAGCAAAATAAGGAGGAGGATGCAGAGCTTTTGCTTTACAAGTGTACCTTTTCGCGGCGTACACGGCAGCTCAAATAAATACAGAGGTTGTTGACATTTGGCAAGTTTTTTCAACCGAGTTAAAAAAAAGGTATACAAAAGATCTCCATTTGGCAATATAGAAAAGCTTTCTAAAGTCTTTGAAAGGTGTACATTTTGGTTTATATACAGAAGTGTGTAAGTGTGTGTGTGTAAGTGTGTGTGTTTGTGTGTGTGTCGGCGTGTGTACTCCAGGAGCTCCCTTTTTCAATGAGTGGCGGTGAAGACACTGTGACATCGTGTGATTTAAAAAAAAGAAAACACGCAACTAAACTGCGGACTACAAATGTGGGGAGGGGGTGTGTCTTCAGAGTCCCTGCCGAAAATAAGCCTGTCGCCACGTGCGTCGTCAGTTCAGGAATTGAGTGTACCCCTCTGCTCCCGTGACTATGACGTCCATCCAGATCCTCATGGCCTCTGCTGAGGGCGCCACCATGTAATAGAGGCGGTCGTGGGTCTTCACGCAAAACGTCAAGGCGGCATTTGGGCTCTAAAAGACACAGACAAATGGGGAAAAAAAAACAAAAAAAAAACAGACGTTGCTATCAATCCTCTTCACAATGTTACGATAATACAGTGGTATTAGAATAAGGTTGGAATGTTATGTGTCTGAAACGTTTGAAGCTGAATCACAGTTGGGAGGGTTAATTCAGTCATGTGCAAATTGTAGCAATGTTCACTCATGTGTCAGTTTTGAACCTTAACTGTTTATGTGTTCGGTAAGATTTTGTTTCTTTCTATGGTGTCACTGACTGACAATGTCGCATTTCAAACTGACAAGAGAGAAAACAGCACTTTCTCTGACAAATTCAATCACGTGAAGAACCATGCAAAAGTTTTGGTCAACAGCTCGCTTTTTTGTTTCAATCACCTTTGCCCAAACCCATGAACAGTCAAAAAAGTCAAGCAGAAAAAAATAGATCAGAATTAGACACAAAAACACACAAAAGCTAAATTCAATGGGTTTGGGGTTTGACATTAAAAATGACAGCAATATAAAACAAAAGAGCAACTTTGCAACTTTTGCATCCAGGTTAGCATGTACACACAACTTTTTTTTTTTTTTTGGTCATGAAGCACCACATTTTTTCACATGAGCCAATGTATTGGCTATTGTTGTCTTGAAAGGTACCGTATTTTCTGCACTATAAGGCGCTTCAGATTATAAGGCGCACCTTCAATGAATGGCGTATTTTAAAACCGTTTTCGTATATAGGGTGCACTGCATTATAAGGTGCATAGAATAGAAGCTAGCTATCTAGTGGCTGCGGTTGTGCTATGCATCCACTAGATGGAGCTCTGCTAACGGGAATACAATACAATACAATACAGCTTTTATTTAGAGAGAGCCTTCACAACCGCTGCAGGTGTAACTATGACAACTGGCCACAAACACGGACATGAAATGGAATTACAAAACAATAAATGAAAGACAAAAGTTTTGAAGATAATTGATTGAACAAAAAGGCACACAAACTTCGTGGGCTCACATCTACAAGAGGCTAAATATCTGTAGGAGTATTGCTTTTCTCCTTCCTTCGTTTAGTCGTAGTAGTTAACGAGGCTTTTGGTATTATCTTTGTTTCATAATGACTGCGCAGAGCTCACCAAGTAGTTGTCTGTTTGAGTGTGTGTTGGCGAATGCACATGGCAATTAGTGTCAGGGAGAACCACTAGATGGCATAGGAACACTAACATACAATAACTCAATGGGGAATATAGAGAGACAGAGACACCATACATATGGTGCATCGGATTACAGGGCGCAGTGACGGCTTTTGGCCAAATTGAATGCTTTTTGGTGCGCACTGAGCGTCGGAGGTCTGTGAGCATTCCGCACGTTGCTAAACGTCTCTTTAAATTGGCAGACAAAATGTTTCTGGAGACTTCTGGGTTCATTTTGCATCTGCAACGTGTTTTTCAAGATTTATGAGCCCGTCTTGGCAGAAGCTATGCAACATGACCACCACTGAGCTTCACAGGTGAGCTTGTCAATTTGAGATCATGGGCAGATCGAGCGTGTCAGCCTTCCCGTCACTTTGGTTCGAGAATCATCTCATCACGCACTTGGGCAACAAAAGACCTCCATCAGTCACGTTTCAATACTTTTGCTCACATGAAAAAATGGGTCAAAAAGATGTCAAGTGCACGTGAAATTACCTGGGGGAAAAAAAGCTTGTCTCATATTCATCTTTTGTCAAACACAAATCTTCCCAATATTATAGAGGAAAAAAAACTAATTTTGCAGGGGAGTGTTTTTGGCAATTATATAGAACAGAGTAGCTAAGACAACAAATATATCGCCACTTTCAGTTTTTTTTTTTTTTTTTCTTCACAGAACTCTACCTCTGTCGCTTAGAAATCAAAGTATCGTATTTTCCGTACTATCGGGCGCACCAAAAAGTCTTCAATTTTCTTAAAAGCTCACCGAGCGCCTTAAAATCCGGTGCGTCTTTTGTATGGTCATTACGGTAATACATCGACTCCAAGATGGCTCCTTCCTGGAGACATGCTTCCAATGTTATAACTTGCTGTTGGTTCAGTGTCGCTGCTTTATGAAATAAGTTTTTGTTGCAGCTCCGAAAAAAGGAGAGCTATGGTGTTCATTTTTTAAAACAGTCTCAACAAATACAGGTACGTCTTTGTCTGTCTACGTGCCTTCTTCCGTTCGACTCGAGAGGCGTTCAAGACCGCCTCTGAAAAACGTAAACTAATGATTACTTCAATGAAACTACGAAAATTGAAAATAATACATCAAAACTGAAAAGCAAGCGAGGAAGGATATCCCAAAATAAATTCTATAGCCACCCCTATGGAATTTTTATTGTGATTTCATCATTTGTGAATACACAACAAAGGAATAAATAACTACTATTGACATCTGATCGTAGTAGTCGTGGCGCTATGATCAAGGAAATGATACAGAATAATACAGAATTTATTTTGTGATTTGCTCGCTTGATTTTCTTCGTAGTTTCACTGAAGTAATCATTAATTTACGTTTATCAGAGGCGGTCATGAACGGCTCTCGATTTGAACGGAATAAGAGAAGGCACGGAGACGGACAAAGACTCACCTGTATTTGTTGAAAAAAGGAGAGTTGTGGTTTTATTTTTTTTTTAAACGCAGACTTTATGAATGGTTTTCACAGTCTCAACAAATACAGGTACTGTACGTCTTAGTCCGTCTCCGTGCCTTCTTCCGTTCCATTCGAGAGGCGTTCATGGCCGCCTCCGAAAAACGTAAATTAATGATTCAATGAAACTACGAAGAAAATCAAGCGAGCAAATCACAAAATAAATTCTGTAGGGGGGATATAGAATTTATTTTGTGATTTCCTCGCTTGATTTTCTGTTTTGATGCATTATTTTCAATTTTCGTAGTTTCATTTAAGTACAGTAATAGTTAATTTACATTTTTCAGAGGCGGTCATGAACGCCTCTCAAGTTGAACTGACGCCTCTCGAGTTGAATGGAAGGAGCGTAGCACCATCTAGTGGAGGCATTGTAAATTGCGCCTCATAATGCGAAGCGTCCATTGTATGAAAAAAATTTACAAAATAGCCATTCATTGAAGGTGCGCCTCATAATCCAGTGCGTCTTTTAGTGTGGAAAATACGGTAAAACAAAACACCCTTCAAAAATGGAGGAATATATTTTACGCTTCATGTGAATAGGTAAGAACTAGTTTTCTACACACATGACATTCAACTGGGGACCGGGGGAAAAGGGGGAGGGCCGAGGGAACAAGCAGGATGAGCAGATCAAAAAAAAAAAAACACAACTGACACACAAATCCACCCAGAGGAGTTCAGGTTTCAGTCATTCTCACTGGGTATGCGTACGGTTAGACAGATGAACATTCAGCATGGTGGATACAGGATACATACACTCGTCAGATTCAAGTTGAAAACGCTCCTCTAGAAGTGAGAGCAGCCGGCCAAAGCAAATGTGCCAAAGTGGAGGAAAAGAAAGCAAAAGAATGGTGTGCGCAAGAAAGGGTCGAATTGAAAGAAGAACTAGAAAGATAAATGAGGGCATGAGGGAGAGCAGCATACCTTGGTGGCGCTGCGGAGGTGATCATAATAAACCTCTTCGATAGCCTGGAAGTATATCACACCCTTCAGCTTGGTCTCGTGTTTGTCTAAAGGAGGAAAAGGCAAAGAGAAAAAAAAAAACAAGAGATGGTGACTTCTGAGTTGGAGTCAGCGGCACCTTATCTGATATCATGACACGCCACACGTCTGAAAAACAACACGTCCAACTGTGAGGACGAGCACGTTTGCGGTGATGGATGAAAAATGACAAGCGCAGCACTTTGGGCCCTCTCTTTTCCAAGCAACGCTGCTCGTATTGTACGTTGAGATTCGACTGGCTTCTTACGCGACTCCGGTACATCATTGCACTTTGTTTCATCAGCCACTGCAGAAGTGCAGCAAGGAACCGAGGGGGAACTCGACGCCCCGTTTCTACCTGCGGGCACATACACTCGGCAAGGCAACTTAAAGAGTGGTGGGTCGAGATGCGGTACTTCATTTCGAGGAATAGTTTAAGACACCGCTAATACCCGCTAATGACCTGTTTAGCAGTCAAATTGCCTCTTGTTTGCATCTCATTTGATTGAGACCAAATGATTTCATAGCGGCGGGGGACGATTGGCGGGAATTAACAGCCCTCGCAAGGTGGGCGTGTCACTTCTCGTTTACTTATTGTTCAAGGTCAAGAGACATTGGCAAGTGATGCATCTCAGCTTCCTCAGAGAGCGCCGCCGCGACGTGCATTTTAACGACGGCGCGACTAATCTCGGTGCGCCTCCTCGCGAGAAGCAAGGTGCGCTTTAAGAGGTTTTAAGCGGAACCTTCAGAGGACTTCAAAGCGCTGAATGTGAACAAGTGTCCCACAGCTCACGCCGGCAGATCAATCACAGCGCGGCGCACGGAAGGTCTGGATTGGAGCGGACATGTTCAGTCCTCGTTCTGGGGACAATCGTCTGCCATGTACACATCTGACATCGCCATTTTTAAGCTTTTTGTGCATCTTTGAAGGTGTTTTATGCCCAAAACATTCATCAAGCAAAGTATTCAACTGGAAAGATACAGCATATGTTGTATAATCAGGCTTGTTTTTTTTTTTTGGTTTTTTTTCGCTGCAATTGTTGCCAGACTTACAGTAGTGTGCCCAGCGTGCATTATTTGATTTTATTTATTCATTTAATCAGACCTTTATTTCTTCAGCACTAGGGCAACATAATCATATCGTGTTTATTGTCATTTCACGTATGTTCGCTTTGGGAAAACTTCCATATGCGACTGGCCACATGATGTCCTTCGGTACAACCACAGTCATTCATGCTGTCTCTGGTTTTATTTTTTAATGCCAGACCAAATATAGGTAGAAATAGAATATCTGGCACCTTCCTGAAAAGCAAAACGTACAAAAATGCTATATTTTTTATACTGCCTCAAAAATTGACCTCCCCAGTAAATATTACCCACAAAAACAACAAACTGACTGACAAAGCACTTTGTCAAGAAAATGTGGCTCTGCATGATAACTGAGACCCTATAAAAATGTGTCTGCAACCTTTTTTGCGTTGACCGTAAGTTAGAAACCCGAATCGAATTAGACCCCAAATTCTGCTTTCACAACAACAATAATAATAGTAACAACGCTTAATGTTGATAGCTTTGTGGTGGAAATTAACGGGTGGGGGTGCAACAGTACCTGATCATATTATGTTAAAAAAAAAAATGATGCACAATTGTTCGTCCCTTTACTTTAAAGTCAGAAAAACCCACTATAGTCACATAATATCTTGAAGCTGACAAAAATAATTAACAATAAAAATGACCTGAATGTAAAAAAAAAATGTACTACTCGTCAACAGATGCGAAAGTCTTTTTGAGATTTAACCCATTTAATCCCACCGGTCACATTTGTGAAGGACAACAATGATTTAATTGACAGGGCTCGAAAATTTTTATTACTGATTACTTAAAAGGGCTACCAGTGACACCTGATTTTGACTTTAAATGTCTGGGAAAAATTTGGGATTAAATGGGTTAAAAGATTTGTTGGATTGTGACGGCCTCGAAAAGTTTTGCAACAAAATATTCAGTTACTGTATCATCTTTGTGCTTTTTTTTTTTTGCCTGTACCAAAGAAGAAATGTCTGAGCAATAGTTACTGTCCATTAGGGTGGTCCATTTTGGAAAAGTTTGTCGGATTCGTCGGGCCGGGTCGGAAATCTTGTCGATACTATGACACAAGGATGTGTGCAAAATTTTATTCCGATCGGATAATTTTATCCCGTCCCGCAGAGTGACCAAAGTTTCCCCTATGGAAAGAATGTTACGGGGCTGAATGGTAGTACGGTTTCTCCCGTACAGTAAGGATTTTGTTTTGCTCAGTTCGCACTTGCAATAATTCAAAGACGGAAGACAGGAACGCATGTATTGCAAAAAAGGCAACCGTGGTGATCCTGCAACACTGGTGAGATTGTTGGTCCATGTTAACTGGTCCATCTGTCTATCTGTACATCTGTCTACATCGCGCGACTGTCTGGAAGTGATCCGATCCGTTTTGCATTTTTTTCAGGCCGGGAGTGGTGC